ATACCCGAGAAGAGGTTGGGACAATCTGGACTTGTGCTCAGTCGCCTGTGGTAGCCCTCAAATTTTCTGACCTTCTTTCCAATGAAAGGTGAGGTCTTCTTCTCCACTCTTTGAATCTGAGCTCCATGGCTGCTCAATGAACAGAATATAACATAAATGACATTCAATCCATTGCCTGGAGAAATGGACACATTCCACTTCCTGTCTTCAGGAATGCTTGCTCCCAGAAGCCAGCCACCATGTTGTAAAGAAGCTCAAACAACCCCGTGGAGAGGCATCTATGCCCTGGGATGAGCCCTCTCCAGTGGAGCTTCGCCTTGACATAGATTTATGAGCAGAAGTGACTGTTGCTATTCTAAGCAGTGCTGTTGTTATGCAGCAACATCGAGTGCCTCTGCCTGGCCACAGCAAATGCTCAGATGAGCATGTGGCCCCTGGTATGAGGTATTTGGATGCCAGGAGGGTTGCTCCTCCTGCTCTGGGACTCTGACTCACAAGGACCTCCCTCTAAACTCTGAAGCTGCCAGCAACTACCTCCCCTGGGTTGGTATTGGGTTTCTGGCCCTTGCAACTGACTAAGGCAGCCACTCAGCAAACAGGCCCAAGCTTCAGTTTCTCATCGGTAAAATGAGGATAACAGAGGGCTCATGATTATTAGAAAAGCACAGTTGTCAGTCTGAGGGAGCCAGAGCAGGTGTGCAGCCAGATACTCAGAGCAGCCCCTTCCTGCTCCATTGTCCTGCAGACTCACTCCTCCAGTGATGGCACAAAGCCCTGACTATGAGCCTCACATGCTGGACAATCTGTGAGCTACTGCACATTTTGTCCTTCAGCTCTGGTAGGAGCTAGCATACTCATTTTACAGGTGTGAAAACTGAGAGGCACAGAGAGCCAGACCATCAAGCCCTAGAGCCCAGGACTTTAGGGTAAGATCTGGGATGAGCTGTGTTGCTAGGGGAAGATCCTTTCCTCAGGCCTTAGTATTCCTATCTGTGAAACAGTAGCCTGCCAAGCACTAGCCCCAGGCCAGGCCTCTGATCTGTCCATTTGGATGGACTTGGCCAGCATTCCAGGCCTTGTGAGAGACCACCTCCTATGGCCTCATTAATGCCTCCCCACAAGATGTGAGCCAGTCCCTAAGTCTAAGTTTCTTAGGTGCTCCCTGAGCAGAGAACTTTGATCCTTCATGGATGTGGCATGGGGGAGGCAAGGAATACACTGCAGCCCAGAGAGGGGCGGGACTTACCCAAGCCCAACCAATAGGGAGGGCAAAGAGTCATCAATCTCCTGAGCCTGAGGGGCTGGTGAGGACCTTCTGGGCATGAAGTCTGTGCTGGACAGAGGGGAGGGCAGCAGGGAAAAAGGGGAGGCCAGGTTTATAATGGGGCAGGGTGCATAGGGGAGCAGGTTCTCACACTTCTCAAGTGACTCAGGCTCCCACTGTGCTGGCTGGGCAGGTGCATGGCATCAAAGAAGCTTAACTGGCTCATGAGCACTAAGCCTCTGGAATGTCCTTGACAGGCTTGTGTACTTCTTACTGCTGGCTTACCTGGGAGCAGCTGGGGCTGTGGAAACACGCCGTGCCCCCAGCAGGGCTGCCCAAATCCTATCATTATGAGTGAGTCCTCAGACTACAGTAATGAGGCGTAATCCTAGGAGGCGAGTGACCTTGGACAGGACAGTGACCTTTCACCGAGTCTCAGTTTCTCTAGCTGTAAATAAGGGGTCAGTTCACATCTTTTCTTACAGGTGGAATTTGGAACTGTCCTGTGAATGTGTGCAATCATTTATAGGTACCCCACTCTTAAAATATTTATTACTTTCCTATTTTCTAATTAGAGAATAGATTCATGCTCACTGTAGAAAATACAGACAATGAAAAGTCAAGAGGCAGGAAAACTAACCTGCCTGGTTGCCCAGAAGTGGCAGAGGAGCCCTGGGGAGCAGCCAGCCAGGCTTTGTCTCTCTTGGGCCACTATGTCCCAGCTCCTGAGCAGGCCTGGCACACAGGAGGGGTTGGTCGGATCATTTCTGTGAATCTGTCACCTGCTTTCACTCCACTGCCTTGCTGCATGTCTCCAAGCCGTCACTGCAAACCTGTGGGCAGCGGCTCTATGTCACCTGAGGTGACTCACCTGTCTCCCTCTTGAAAGACAAGGCAAGCCTTGCTTATGCAGGACTCTGGCCAGGGAGGAGAGCCCCATGGTCAGAGCCCGGACCCTGATGGGGAGTGGGCTTTGGGCAGGGGCTCCAGGCAGGGGCTTCCTGCATAAGGGGACCAGCTCTTCCTGTGGAGAGGCTTGAAGGCCTGTACGCATTAATGGTGTCAAATGGCCTGGCAGAACACATTTTTAAGAAAATTCTTTTCTCCCCAAACCCAACTCATTGGAGCTACAAGCTTAGATAACTTTTGTTTATGCTTTTAATTTAAAAAAGGTTAAAAAAAAAGAGGCAAAACCCATGAGGTTACCTTGCTTACGTGATTTATCTTGCAATGGAACTTTCTGGACTTGGTCTATTATGAGAGAGGTTTTTAGGATGAAGATCTAATTTTTCTATTTAGTGGAAGTGAAAATGAAGAATACTTAATGAAAAACAAAAAGCATTTTACAATTTCACAGTTACCTGATTTGAGGGAAACACACCAGTAACCAGCTATCCAACCAGGCTTAGGCACTGTCTCCTGCAGTCTGCCAGGACCTGTGGATGTGAACACTGCATAGGGTGAATTGGGGGTTGAGGAAGTCTCCCTGGGGCAGGCAGTGCCTCAGCTAAGTCCCATGGGAAGAGGAGACCACTAGGCCAGACCCTCACCATCCCCTCAAAATCTCTGGCAGCACATCTGTAAGCCCATTTTACAGAGCAGAACACTGAGGCCCAGGGTTTTCAGACTCCTTCCCCTGCATCAGCCTCCCTGGTTCCTTCCCCCATACTGTGTGATCCAAGCTGCAAACCCAGATGAGAGCACAAGTAATGGTGTGGGGGCTGGATCCCCAAATGCAGACAGGCCAAAGCTACAGTCAAAACTTTGGGCATCTAGGCCTCCCACCAGGTGCCTACACCAAGGAAGCTAAATGTCCTCTCTGATTCACAGACAGGGCACAGACCTTTAGATCACACAGCACAGGACAGAGCTCTTTGGAAGAGGTATCTGAGGCCTGAGGAGAAGGAGACACCAGCCTGGCATAGTCCAGGCACTACCCCTAGTCTGAGCAGCTGGGAAAGCTGAGTCAGGTGGCAGGTGCCCAAGTTCAAATGCTAACAGGTCCTGCATGGCCCAGCTTCACAATGTTGCTCCATTCTTGATTGTGTCACAGTCTCCCTCTCCTCAGGGTGGGTGGCAGAACCTTCTCTATCCCTCAGAAGAGAACATCAAGGCCCAGACACAGGGACCCCCCAAACCCCAAATTCAAGTGCTTAAATCCTAACCCCTGGTACCCGAGGACATGACTCTTTTGGAGATAGAGGCAATCGAGTTAAAGTGAGGTCATTAGGGTAGCCTTAATCCAATAGGACTGGCATCCCATAAAAAGGGGAAATTTGGACAGAGACAGATATATGCTCAAAGGGACAAAACAGCCATGTGAAGACTGCAGTGATGCTGCCAAAAGCCAAGGAACTACCAGAAGATGGAGAGAGGCTTGGACCAGACCCTTCCTAGCACCTTTGGAGGGAGCATGGCCCACTTGATACCTTAATATCAGACTTCTGGCCTCCACAACCTTGAGATGACACATTTCTGTAGTCCTTAGTCATTCAGTCTGTGGTACCTTGTCTTGGCAGCCCTAAGAAGCATACCCACCCTAAACGGCTAGGCTTGAATTCAGCATTTGGGGCTCCTGGGAGCCTGGAAACCCATCCCTTCCCTCCCTCCCTGTCCCTGGGGACCCTTCCTCTCTTCCCTCCCTGTCTCTGAGCCTACAGGCAGCTGCCCTCAGCACAGTGGTATGCACAGGGGGCCAGACCCAGTGAGCAGATCATAATGCCCTGGAGGTGGGTTTGGGGCCATTTGGCAGGGAATTCCGGAATCCCAGGTCCTTGAATGTGGTCTGGAGGGGTCAAGAGTCACTGTGGGTCCTGAAGACTCACCTGGCTTCCCGATGTGACAGATGGGCCACGCATACTTGGTTTCATATAAGGGAATTGAAAAAAGTTATCAGGTGTGGCCCACAAACAAGTCTGAAGTAGGAACAAGATATTATGGGGTGAAATCAACCCCAACCCAGGAAAGAGGAGGACATATCATAGTGAACCTCAGCCTTACTGGACTTAGGAAGCAGAGGTGGGAGCACTGCCCTACTGGAACACTGCTCCGTGGTCGCAGAACATGCTTCTCTTCTCTGTCCTTAGCCAGGCCCCCTCTAGAGCTAGTTATGTCAACTGGGCCTCCTAGGCCAGCCACACTGATCTGTCCCTCAAAATTCCAAAGTGTTCAGACCTCCGGGCCTTTGCATCTGGCTGTTTTCTGTGCAAGGTCCTCCTTCCTCAGCTCTGCCAGGGGTGAGGGGGTCTCTTGCTTAGAAGCCACCCTGCATGGCCCTAGCTTAGGTGTCTGTGGTCTGAGATTCCCTCGGTGGTTTTCTGGGCAGGGTGGTGCCCTGGGCAAGGAGTTGTGCCCGGGCTGGGCCTCTGCATAGGGAGCAGGGCAGGAGAGTTGGAGCCAGAAGGAGAGTCCGCGGGGGTGTGCGTGTGTGCCTTGTGCCAGACCCCAAGGGTCTGAATCCTGCCCATCAGTTAGGACCTACAATATCTACACCCACCTCCGAGGACCTAAGACAGATGGGGGTCCACCTGTACTGTTCACCCAGGATACCTGGGCTAGGGAGACCGGACTGGTCTGAGAGACCCGGACAGAGCGCACGACCTGCACAGGTCCCTGGAGCAAGACTTCCAGCTCCGCGGGCTTTGCCCACTCCGGGATTTGGGCTCCGGAAGGGCTGGCCCCGCCCCCAGGCTCACCGCGCGGGGCGCGGGGCGGGGCTCTGGTAGGGAGTACCCGGTACTCCGCGCAGGCGGCGGCTGTTGGGGCAGTCCCGCTGGTTGCAGAGCGTGCAGGGATGCATCGGGTGTCTGCGACCCTCCGCGGCAGGGCAAGGCCGAAAGGCCGCTCGGGGGACGGCACGCCAAGCCCGGGGAACAGTACAGGTGAGAGTCGGGGCCACGAGCGGGGCTCTGCGCCCTTTTCCCGGACGGGGAAGCCGAGGGGAGGGGGGCGGTGCACCACTGAGGAGGCTGGGGATGGGTGTGCACAGCCTGGGGGTACATTGCCGAGAGGGGGGGGTGGGGGGTGCACAACCGGGGGGTCGGGATGGGACGGCGGGAGCGGAGAGGGCGCACAGCGGAAGACTGGCTCGAGGGCGAATCTCCCCGAAACTCTTCGTCCAGCGGGCGTCCCGGGGGAGGCGAAGATTGGCCACAAGCGGCCTGAAAGCAGGCGGCCCGCGGGCCCAAGTGCGCGCCTTTTCCTGGTGGGAGCCGCGGGCTCCGCGGGCGCACCCCACCTGTGCTCTGGGAGAAGTTGGCGAACCTGGGGAACTGTCTTCGCCTTGCGGGGAGATGCTCTGGTTCCTTGGCAGCTCCCCTACCCCACTTCACTGATGGTAAACTGAGGCAGGAAGAGGGGAGCGACTGCCAGAGGTCCCGCGGCAGTCGGGCCTGGGTCAAGGCTTCGGGGTTTTCGGAAGAAGGGGAGGGCTGGCTATTTTACTTTGTTTTTGATTTTGAGAATGTTCTAAAGAGAGTTCACCTTCGTGCCTTGGCGTCTGAAGACCCGAGTTCCAATGCTGGCTTTGTTCCACTAACGCGCCTAAAATCTAATCCTTTTAGAAACAGAAACAAACTCGGACTATGTTCCCTAGGTGTCCTGGAGGCTCACTGTAGTGGACACTTAAGCCCAAGGGGTCTCAAGGCACCTGTGCCTCAGGCCAGGTGTAAGATTGGGCTCTCTGTACAGGTGGAGGCTGGGTCCAGAGAGGTTGACTGGTCCAGTTCACACCCTGGGGTGCAGCCAGTCCTGCTTAAAACAATTATATCTGCCACCTTTGGGCACTTTGGGGCCAGCTCCCTTTCAGATGGGGAATCTGAGGCCCAGGGAGAGCTGAGACCTGCCCCGGCCTGGTGGAGTGGGTTTATTTTGACACCCCAGGGCAGCCTGATGCCCAATCCTGAACTGGTGCTTTGCTCCATGTGTATATGGAGGACAGTGTGTGTGTGTGCTTGCCCAGGCTGGGGAGGTGGATGCAAACCAGAAGTGGAGGGACTTGCCCAAGGTCAGCCAAGGATAGGGGGAGGGGCTCTGGCATGTTTGCCTACAAAAGGCCATTTGCAGAAGATTCTTCTGGGGGAAAGAGGAGCTCAGAGTAAGGTCCCTGTCCTCTTGCCTGCCCAGCCTAGCCCCAGCCCTGCTTCTGACTGGCTGTAGCTCAGCCTTCCCCCTGACATGACCCCTGGGTCCAGGCCCATGAGCCCTCCCCTGGGATTTGAGTTTGGAAGCCCCCTTTGACCTGGGATGCATCTCTGCCTCTGTGCCTCAGTTTCCACATGTGCTAAGTGGTGGGCACTGTCTATCTGCCCCCAGGCTGTTGGACAGGCCAAGCAGAGCCTCCACCCTGGCCATAGTTCTGCTCTGGGGTAATGTGTCCTTTGGACTCCATCATTCCCTTGGCCTGTGGCCCCAGTCTCTCAGGCTGTGAAATGGGCTCCCACCTCTCCCTGTGGGAGTATGAAGTGATGGATGTAAGGGTCTTTTGGAGACAGCTTGGCACCGTCTAAAACGTAGCAACAGCATGTGTATCTTTCTTGCAATCTATAAAATGGGTGCATTACTCTATTCTTCTTGAAAGTTTAGCCAGATGGACATGGTGTTCCGGGATCTGTGTCCTCTCATCTTCCACGCATGGGGCAAGTTGGGGGAGGCTGGCTCAGAGCAAGATTTTAAATGTTTGTTGAATGCCTAACTGGGAGAGGCTGAATGCCCAGCCCTACCATGGAGGCCTCCCTCCCACTGCTGTCAGGCCCCTGGCCCTGCTCCCAGGGCAACTCCAGCACTCCTTGATCCAGAAGATTGTCCAGGAACGCAGCCAGGCGGGAGGAAGAACTCGAGGTTCCAGTGGACAGAGGTGACCCCCCCCAAGACTCTGTACTCTGGAGGGACCACAGAGCAAGGGCCCAGAAAGGGAGCATCAAGAGGACCACCAGATGGTGAGGGTATGCTCTGGGTATCCTTGACTTCACTCCTGCAGCCCTGCCACACAGCCGTCCTGAGCCCATTTCACAGAGGAGACACCGAAGCTCAGAGGGAGCAGCAG